ACACACACACACACACACACACACACAGAGAGAGAGAGAGAGAGAGAGAGAGAGAGAGAGAGAGAGAGAGAGAGAGAGAGAGAGTCGCTGATCTATGCTACTCTACGCTGATCTACTTGGTTCAGACATGGCATCCGCTCGATCGGTGATCGTGGCAATGGGGAGAAAAAAACAGATCTTCTCTCTCTCTCTCTCAATTCGATCGAGGTGGCATATGTTGCAGCACGAACTACCAGGATTGATTGACGGATCGGGGCGTGAGAGGGGGGCCGGGAGGGGAGAGAGAGCAAGAGAGCGAGCGAGAGAGAGATACCTTTTCATCTGAAAAAAAACTCAATAATATTGTTTTGGATCAGTAAATGAAACATGGTTGCAGAATAGCGCAAATGCGAGCCATCGAAGTGACAGCTCACTCGAATCGACAACCAGAATCCCGGTCGGTGCAGTCAGGAAGGAGTTTCTGACACTTCCCAATCGTTTCTTCTTTGCTTAATTTCTCATACGAAATTCTCCAAGATCGTACCCAGCATTACGGCTGCTCGCATGTTTTGTAGCAGACAGCAAATCCCAAACAGATTGGATGTTGAATACTCCCTTCTTACACTACAGGACCTGCTTAACAACAATGGCACTCTTTGAAGTTGACAACAATCAATCACTTTCGGCCCACCAAACCGAGACTTACACAAACAGAGAGAGGGTTGGTGTCGGTCGACCACTTTTCTCAGGGGTATCGTGAGCTCTGGGTGATGTGGCGAGTGCTTATCCATTAGACAAATGCATCATAGGGTTGGTCTGAGTAAACTGGACCGCTTTTCGCAGGGGCATCACTAACTCTGGGTGACGTGCCTGGGCAGACTGTTGGGGAAAAACCTCCTGATGAGCCGGTGAAAGTCCGACGAAACAGTCAGGCACAGTCATGCGTTTCTTTGTGGAGTTGTGTATATGGTACATGCACACACACACACACACGCACACGCACACACATACCTTCCGTTTTACTCTGCCTCTTGAAATAACTTGCAAGTGGGCCGTGAAGGCACACGGGGATGTGGGCAGCTGCCGCTCAACCGCAATCAACGTGGGCAGTTTTGTGCGGAAGAGGCACAGTAAAAGGGGAGCTGCAAGAACAATGAAAGGGGTACCCCAAGGACAACCAAAAAACTGTCTAATTATAAAATTGCTTTAATATGTTGGACATCTCAAATGCTCTTGTTGTCTGCAATAGGACAAAGACTGCTTTGATTCTGAATCTATTCATCTGGGTGGAATTGGGGCTGTTGTGGGGAAAATCTAAAACACACACACACACACACACACACACACACACACGAACACACACGCACACACACAAGTGGTTTTGACTGGCTCGATGTCATTATTAGACCCCGAAAAAAGAGCAAAGTTGAAGTAGGAACCCCTTGCAGGCAAAGATTGCGTACATCTTGAGGTCTGGAAAATATTGCTTTGTGTGCACCGAGGGAAAGTGCGCACTGACAAGGTAGTATATGTGAAATTGATGTTGACCGAATAGGCCAGTTGCTATCCAACTGCACCCATCCCAACACACCACTGGCTGCTTTCATTTGCAATTTTTTTTAAACCTTTTGTGGGCGGAGCCGCAACAGGTAGCTAGTATGATGTAGACATTGTAAAGCAATTATTTTAGGATCTCTTCTGGAAAATGATGGCTCACTCAAAATGCTCAATAAGAATGCAAGATTCTTTAGTCGACATAGCCGAAGTCAAGACGAGTATTGTGACCTATGGAAGGCTAGTACACCGCAAGAAATATCACTTTGATCACTTTAAGGACCTTCTGAAAAAAGTGGTCATAGTCAAAATACAAAATTGTTATTTCAAAGTCGTGCTCTCCGTCAACCAACAGAAATTCATACCCCTGAACTCTGTAAAACAAATATGAATCTGGTCACGAGTATGAATCCAGCCACCGGTATGCATTTGGTCACGAATCTGATAGTTGTGCATCTGAAGAACAAGCACATAGAAGAGTTATATGCAGACAGTTGGTGATAGTGAGTGATTCTGTATCTGATCTCAATGGAATGTTGTAGTCAAAGGACAAGTATGACTGCTATCGAACTGTGCTGGCAGTTTGCCCCTACGCCCACCCGTATGCGACACCACCCCACCTGGGTTCGAGATTGGTTCGGACCTTTGGGGGGGGTCTCTGTACAGCTTACCCCGTTCTCTCTTCGATATACGGAGTACACATAGCCTTCGGACACGACATAGAATTATATATCGCCTACGGGCTATATATACACACAGCCTTCGAACATAACATAGATGATAGAACTACATATCACCTACGGGCTACACTCTCAGATTCACAGTGCACACATAGCCTTCGGACATAACATAGTACTATATATCGCCTACGGGCTACATACACATATATATAGCCTTCGGACATAACATAGAACTACACATAATAATAAAAATTTTAAAATTGCCAATTGTATTTTTTTTCCGAACTTTTGAATTGCCAATTCAAGCAGAACTGTGGAGACTACGTGAGCTAAGAATTGCCAATTAAAAAGGTAAAAAAAAAAAAAAGGTGCTCCACACTCTGCTTTGCTAGCTGGACTGCGCAACCGTTGTGCTTGTTGTATAAACATTGTTATGCGGCGTCGAACCTAACAAAAAAAAAAGGGTGGAATCCAATGATAACTCACCCAACAGTTCAGTTCAGAGACCTGAGAGGTGGCGATTCCCACCTCCCACCTCCCTTCTATCAGGATTCAGGAGATACGCACATGAGGACCTTCAGGACTGAATCTAGCTGAATGGCTGTAAGGTACATCCCAAGAAAGGCTTTTAGTGTATTGTGTCTCTGTATATTAGCTGGCCCGTAGTGTTTTTTTTTTTTTTTTTTTTTTTTTTTTTTTTTTTTTTTTTTTTTTTTTTAAAGGTCGGCATTTTTTTTCACTGCTCCATGGAACTAGTTCGTTGTAGTGCTCAGTCGAAGCTGACACTGACTTCCCGGTTGTCTCCTGATTTCCTAATTTGGCAGGTGTGGTGGCACAACAAGGACAGTGAAATAAGCGGGTCTTGGTTCCGCGGCAGGGTGCGTAATTGATTTGTTTAATGCTTTTTCTTTCCCGTGCTTGGTGAAGTGAGTTACGCCATGTAAATCGCGTTCTGCACCAAGTTCGACTGGAATAGGCCTGCGGCAAAAGTCCCCGTCGGGAAAAAGAGGCTCAGACGTTTCGAGAGACCAGTGGACTGTTTTGTTTTTTTTCTGCTGGAAGACAAGCAGAAGGATGTGTTCAGGACTTTGCAACGTAATTGATTTTTTTTTTCCTTCCTGGAAATTTATTTTTATTTTTATTTTTAACGCAAAGACGGGCCCGTCTGGACCCAGATCCTTTTCATCCTGGATTTCCTGGATGTCTGTGTTGGATTGTTTAAGGGAGTGTCTGGTTCTCATCTTTTTTTTTTTTTTTTTTTTTT